TTTAGGATTTGACCTTTACTTGACCTTCAGTACAGTGACCTTTGAAAGGTCAAAAAGGTTGATTTTTCAAATTGATTTTTGGATGTAAATTTTGGTCAGCTTAATCACGAAAGACCTTATTGAGCTCTGAATAATTTAAAATTTTCAAGGTCAAAGGTCATCAAACTAGGTCACACAACTGTGCTATCTAAGTTTCTCAAAGTTGGAGACTACAAATCCAAATCAATAGTTTTGTTTGAAAGTCAGGATATACATTCCTCTGAAGGTTCCAAACTGTGTGAGCACAGGACTGTGGGTCCTTATTTTGTAACATACCATGTCACACACTGTCATATCATATATCATACTATGTCACAGACTGTCATATCTTGTAACATACAATGTCCCTTACTGTCTGATCTTGTAACATATGTCACTCAATGTCATATCTTGTAACAAACCGTGTCACTCACTGTCATATATTATATCATTCCATTCAACTAACTGTCGATATCTTGTAACATACCATGCCACTCACTGTCATATCATGTATCATACCATGTCACAGTCTGTCATATCATATGACATACCATGTCACTCACTGTCATTTATTGTAACATACCATGCCAATCACTGTCATATTTTGTAACATATCACGTCACACACTGTCATATCATGTATCATACCATGTCCCTTACTGCCATATCTTGTATCATACTACGTAACTCACTGTCAAATCAGGTAGCATACTATGTTACTCACTGTCATATCTTGTAACACCATGTCACTCATTGACATATCTTGAAACATACCATGTCATCTACTATCATATTTGTAACATACCATGGCACTCAATGTCATATCATGTATCATACCATGTCACTGACTGTCATTTTTGAAAAATGACCACCATTTTTACTTTTTTTTACTATAAATCAAAAAGTAGTGAAGTGATTTTGTTCATATTTGGTATGTGAATACTATAAGCATGGCACACTGTCTAATGACACTTTTGGTGGAAGGCTGCCATTTTTCAATATGGCTGCCATTTTAATGGTTTTTACCGTACCTCAAAACGTAGTGGAGGGTTTTTGTTCATATTTGGTATGTGAATACTATAAGCATGGCACACTGTCTAATGACACTTTTGGTAGAAGGCGGCCATTTTGAAAAATGGCGACCATTTTTACATTTTTTACTATAGCTCAAAAAGTAGTAGAGCGATTTTGTTCATATTTTATATGTGAATACTATAAGCATGGCACACTGTCTAATGACACTTTGGGTAGTAGGTGACCATTTTGAAAAATGGCGACCATTTTTACATTTTTTACTATACTGACTCAAAAAGTAGTAGAGCGATTTTGTTCATATTTTATATGTGAATACTATAAGCATGGCACACTGTCTAATGACACTTTGGGTAGTAGGCGACCATTTTGAAAAATGGCGACCATTTTTACATTTTTTACTATACTGACTCAAAAAGTAGTAGAGCGATTTTGTTCATATTTTATTTGTGAATACTATAAGCATGGCACACTGTCTAATGACACTTTGGGTAGTAGGCGACCATTTTGAAAAATGGCGACCATTTTTACATTTTTTACTATAACTCAAAACGTAGTAGAGCGATTTTGTTCATATTTTATATGTGAATACTATAAGCATGGCACACTGTCTAATGACACTTTGGGTAGTAGGCGACCATTTTGAAAAATGGCGACCATTTTTACATTTTTTACTATAGCTCAAAAAGTAGTAGAGCGATTTTGTTCATATTTTATATGTGAATACTATAAGCATGGCACACTGTCTAATGACACTTTGGGTAGTAGGCGGCCATTTTGAAAAATGGCGACCATTTTTACATTTTTTACTATACTGACTCAAAAAGTAGTAGAGCGATTTTGTTCATATTTTATATGTGAATACTATAAGCATGGCACACTGTCTAATGACACTTTGGGTAGTAGGCGACCATTTTGAAAAATGGCGACCATTTTTACATTTTTTACTATAACTCAAAACGTAGTAGAGCGATTTTGTTCATATTTTATATGTGAATACTATAAGCATGGCACACTGTCTAATGACACTTTGGGTAGTAGGCGACCATTTTGAAAAATGGCGACCATTTTTACATTTTTTACTATAACTCAAAAAGTAGTAGAGCGATTTTGTTCATATTTTATATGTGAATACTATAAGCATGGCACACTGTCTAATGACGCTTTGGGTAGTAGGCGACCATTTTGAAAAATGCCGACCATTTTTACATTTTTTACTATAACTCAAAAAGTAGTAGAGCGATTTTGTTCATATTTTATATGTGAATACTATAAGCATGGCACACTGTCTAATGACGCTTTGGGTAGTAGGCGACCATTTTGAAACATGGTGACCATTTTTACATTTTTTACTATAACTCAAAAAGTAGTAGAGCGATTTTGTTCATATTTTATATGTGAATACTATAAGCATGGCACACTGTCTAATGACACTTTGGGTAGTAGGCAACCATTTTGAAAAATGGTGACCATTTTTACATTTTTTAGTATATCTCAAAAAGTAGTAGAGCGATTTTGTCCATATTTTATATGTGAATACTATAAGCATGGCACACTGTCTAATGACACTTTGGGTAGTAGGCGACCATTTTGAAAAATGGCGACCATTTTTACATTTTTTACTATAGCTCAAAAAGTAGTAGAGCGATTTTGTTCATATTTTATATGTGAATACTATAAGCATGGCACACTGTCTAATAACACTTTGGGTAGTAGGCGACCATTTTGAAAAATGGCGACCATTTTTACATTTTTTACTATAACTCAAAAAGTAGTAGAGCGATTTTGTTCATATTTTATATGTGAATACTATAAGCATGGCACACTGTCTAATGACACTTTGGGTAGTAGGCAACCATTTTGAAACATGGTGACCATTTTTACATTTTTTACTATAACTCAAAAAGTAGTAGAGCGATTTTGTTCATATTTTATATGAGAATACTATAAGCATGGCACACTGTCTAATGACGCTTTGGGTAGTAGGCGACCATTTTGAAAAATGGCGGCCATTTTTACATTTTTTACTATAACTCAAAAAGTGGTAGAGCAATTTTGTTCATATTTTATATGTGAATACTATAAGCATGGCACACTGTCAAATGACACTTTGGGTAAAAGGCAGCCATTTTTCAAAATGACCACCATTTTTTACTCTTTTTATTCTTACTCGAAAAGTAATGGAACCATTTTGTTATTGGTTATGGGGAAGAGGGTTTGCACCCATCGTGCCTCCCCCCCCCCACCACACCAATGATCTAATACAAATGGTCACCCAAATACTTGAATTGGTGATTATTCTGATATACATGTAACATTTTAATGGTTTTTTTTTTATATTTGCAAATCAAGGGTAAGGTAGATGATAAATATTATGTTGTGGCATACAGATTCATGAATTTAGTGTTCTTTGGCATTTGCTGCACTATGGAGTTTGCATATTTCTAGTACTTTATTCAATTTACTGGACATAAGTGAATGATAAATGAACAAAAGGCACAATACAGAAAAGAAAAGAATTTAAATATTATTTGCTTATTTCAGGATGTATGGCATGGGTAATCAGCATGTCAAAAACATATAGATAGAATATGGTGGAATAACAGCAGGGAATAGATGGAAAAACAGATTGCATGTGGAATTGCCACAATACTTCACCGGTATTTATCGTGAAGAACAACTTTTATTTAATTCACTGGAAGGAGCTGTTGACATATGAACAATTAGGATGATAAATGATTTGGAGGGCTTGAGGAATGACCACATTACTTCACCAGTGTTTATATACATATATATTAGCTGATTAAAAATAAAAAGACATATGCAACATTAACAATAGGCATAATATATGATACAGGATGGCACACAAGGATTTATGTACATACTGCAAATCATATTCAAGGATATTTAAATGATACCAGATGGAATGATGATTTGTGACAGTTGTGATTCTTATAGACCATGATGTGAGTCAACTCTGGAGATGCCCCCCCCCCCTCACACACAAACAATAGCATTTTGAATCAAGTGTGTACATGCCACCCCTCCCAATAAACTTTAGCAACATTTCAAAGATAAAAGACTGATGTTGATATAATTCAGTACAAAGATGAAAAATGGAATTTTTTGCAAGGGTTAATATAGTATGGTAATTACATAGAGATACATGTATGTGATGGCTTGATAGCATATACTTTGATCAGCATTAGTCAAGTTTTGAAATCACTTTATCCCGCAGCAAATTTTTTTACCAAGCGCTGGTACGGGACAGTGGGTTTGAAAACCTGACTGTCCCGTAGCTCAGTGCTACAAAGTGCTCATACGGGATAAAGGTGTTTGACTTCGTGAATATCCCGCGAGCCCTATAAAATTACGTGACAGTGTAACTTTGATTCATCATATCCCGATCTGTGAAAAACATTTGTCGTGATCGGGACTAAAAATCAGATCTCGCAAAACGTCGAAAGTGGAGCTGCGGTATATTTTATACCAAATAACTATGTCGGTAGTGAAGTTTAAATGCCACGTATTCTGTTATTTTTCTGAAGGGAAAATCATGATATCCATTTGGATTATTTACAGCCTTATTTTTGTCACTAGATTTTGGTAATAACCCGTTGTTGCAAGAAGAGAATAAAGGTCCTCTCGTTAGCAAACTGAGAAAATCGGCATTTTGAAAAGATCTGAAGAGGTATGGTCCTGATTCACGTTCTTTTGGAGAGTTGCTTGATATCTTCATATGCTGAGGACCTCACTTCACGGAAAGGATATTATTTTCATGAAAAATATACTATTTCTTGTGGGAAAACACTCGTGGTCAAAAACATGACTCTCACTTGTCATACAATACCTGGTCCTTTCCAATAATCGCGAGCTCTGACAGGAATCTTATTCTTAATTACTGTTAAGTGAATTCTACTTTTTAAACATTCAAAGTCAAACTAATTGCAGGTGACGTTGACAACCTTGGAACTGAATTTGTACTGATGTTCATGGAGAATTCTATCAAGCCGTCTACAACTCCACTTGAGATTGAAGTATTTGTCACAACCTACGAATCAAACATTGTATATGTCCACATCTCTAGTCCTAAATGGAACAACCCGAAGGTTGACCACAGTTTTAACATCACCGCTGGTGAGGTTGAACTGGTTAAATTCTCACGTGATTTACGTATGGTTGGAACGGAGAAGTCATCAAAGGGAATTCTTATTCAGGTATTTTCAATGCCATACATCATTGATTGATTCGTCATCAAACGGAATATCTATTCAGATATGTTTAATATAACCCCCTGCCAACTTTGATCGAACATCACTTATTCACAAATATAGCACTTTATACGAGGTTAACTTGGAGGTTCTGGTTCATGCCCTCCCCTTGTATTTTAAACAGAGCATGGTTGTAATATCATAGAAAACTGTAATTACTAGTATAGTTCATGCTTTGGCAAGTAAGTCCTTATTGTAATTTGTTTAGAAATATTATTCAAATCTGTTACTGTTTGTGATAAGATTTCAACCAAATAACGCCATGCGTTATGGTTGATCTAATGCGCTCGGTTTCTGCACGGGGAGTAAGTCAGCCCTACCCTGTGATATTTTTTTTATATTAAATCTATTTTGATATAGAGAATATAAAGGGAGGGATGACTTAAATATAATGTATGTAAGTCTCCAAGGTTCATGTATGCAAACAACGACCTTGGCTAACAAAAAACATTAAACTCCTAACTTGCAAAGACACGCTCAATGTAACAAAAATCCAACTTAACGCCGCCATTACAAAGTTGGAACAAAAGCAGATAGACATGGACGTGTATTCGCGAAGGAGCAGCATCCACTTTAAAGGAATACAAGAGGTTATCGAGGGCGAAAACTGTGAGGAAATTATCAAAACATTTATTCACGAGAAAATGGGTATTGACACGACGGATATTAAGTTTGAGCGAGTGCATAGGATTCCGATTGGACCAAAGGCTAATTTCAAATTTCACCGCACAATTACTGCCAAATTCCTTTGGTTTAAGGACAAGGACCGAGTGTGGCGAGCCCGTACTAAATTGAAGGACCATCCAGGCTTTTTTATTGAAGAAAGCTTCCCTGCCACTGTAGAACGTAATAGAAAGGTACTATTCCCTGTGTACAAAGCGGCTAGGGCTGAGAACATGAGGGCTACACTGATTGCGGATACCCTTCTAGTAGACGGCCGAAAATATCGAGTTGAGGACCTTCAACGACTGCCCGAAAATATTGGTTTTGCAGCCTCGCAACGAAAAGTGGCCGACATAGTAACACTTTTCAATAGCGCAACGTCACCATTAGGAAGGAACTTCCCTTGTCGTTTTTCCGAAAATGGTCGAATATTCCACTCGGTCGCGCAATACGTAGCATATACTCAAGCTGACATGTTTGAGGACCACGATGCAGCCTCTCGCGTGATGGCATCACAGAACTCATCCGCCTGTGAGAAGATTGGTAAAAATGTCAAAGGGTTTTCTGAAGCTCTGTGGAATATGCGGGTGGAGGCTGTGCTTGAGAAAGCCAACACTTTAAAATTTACTCAAAACCCAGAGCTCAGCTCATGCTTGAGAACAACATCGGGGACGGAACGAATTGGTGAGTGCAACCCCTACGAGAGTTTCTACGGTACAGGATGCAAGATTGCAGACTTAAACGCTGGTAAACCTGACCAATGGCCGGGGAAGAACATTAATGGCAAAATTCTTAAACTTGTGAGAGACAAGTTAGCCAGCTAACTTTTAAAACTATCAACTTTACTACATACAAGGTTGCCAGCTAAAAACGAGGCATTACAATGGCCTTTATTAATCAATTAAGGACTTTGAAATGAATATTGTAAACGGAGCCATAGGAACAAAGGCTACAAATACTCAACCGATGGACTCTTGGACACTGATTTTCCAACCCAGTCTTAAATGACATTAGGCTTGGTTTACCCCAAGCCCATATATTAAAATACACAATTAAGTATTCAGATTGTTTCACTAGTTCTACAGTTTGGCAGCAAGTCGTACCATACTACATGTCACTATCGAAGCATGAACGTCATGAACTCTTTCCAAATGTTATGTTATTTTTACAGTAATGCTTGAAACTGTCAGGTCAGTGTCATAATCTGTAATATTTTTTATGCATAACAGGTAAATGTATCTTAAATAGAACACGTTGACATTGTGCCTTTATGTGGGTATGATATGATACTCTACTAATATTTCGAAAGGTAGTATTTAAATTCACTATAATAGTATTGTATACGACTCAAAATTACCTCTTGATGTGTGTGTTGACTTATAGTTAGCATTGCATACCCTACTAAATAGTTTGAAAAGAATTGCACAAATTCATTGAAATTACTAGCATTGCATACTCTAGTGAATATTTTGAAAATATTATTGCATAATACCTGGAATTACCTCTTGTATGAGTTGACTGATATACTAGCACTGCATACTCTACTGAATATTTCGACAAATTTTTGCATAAATTCATTATAATATTATTGCATATCACTTGGAATTGCCTCTTGTACATGTATGTGTTGACTGAATTACTATCATTGCATATTCAACTAAATATTTCGACACGTATTGTATAAATTCATTATAATATTATTGCATACTACTTGGAATTACCTCTTGTATGTGTTGACTGAAATACTAGCATTGCATACTCTACTGAATATTTCGACAGTTTTTGCATAAATTCATTATAATATTATTGCATAATACTTGGAATTACCTCTTGTAAGTGTTGACTGAAAAACTAGCAATGCATACTCTACGGACTATTTCGACAGGTATTACATAAATTTATTTTACTATTATTCCATAATACTTGGAATTACCTCTTGTATGTGTTAACTGAAATACTAGCATTGCATACTCTACTGAATATTTCGACAGTTTTTGCATAAATTCATTATAATATTATTGCATAATACTTGGAATTACCTCTTGTAAGTGTTGACTGAAAAACTAGCAATGCATACTCTACGGACTATTTCGACAGGTATTACATAAATTTATTTTACTATTATTCCATAATACTTGGAATTACCTCTTGTATGTGTTAACTGAAATACTAGCATTGCATACTCTACTGAATATTTCGACAGTTTTTGCATAAATTCATTATAATATTATTGCATAATACTTGGAATTACCTCTTGTAAGTGTTGACTGAAATACTAGCAATGCATACTCTACGGACTATTTCGACAGGTATTACATAAATTTATTTTACTATTATTCCATAATACTTGGAATTACCTCTTGTATGTGTTAACTGAAATACTAGCATTGCATACTCAACTGAATGTTTCGACAGGTATTGCATAATTCACTATAATATTATTGCATACTACTTGGAATTACCTCTTGTATGTGTCGAGTATTTGCATACTCTACTGAATATGTTGAAAAGTATTGCATAAATTCTTTATAATATTATTCTATAATACTTGGTATTACCTCTTGTATGTGTTGACTGAAATACTAGCATTGCATACTCTACTGAATACTTCAACAGGTATTGCATGAACTCATAATAATATTATTGCATACTACTCCATGTACTTGGAATAACCTCTTGTATGTGTAGAGTATTTGCATATTCTACAGAACATTTTGACAAGAATTTGCATAAATTCATTTTGATATTATTGCATACTACTTGGAATTACCTCTTGTATGTATAGAGTATTTGTATACTCTACTGAATATTTTGAAAAGTATTGCATAAATTCTTTATAATATTATTGCATAATACTTGAAATTACCCCTTGTATGTGTTGACTGAAATAATAGCACTGCACACTCTACTGAATATTTCGACGGGTATTGCATAAATTTATTATATTATTTTTGCATAATACTTGGAATTACCTCCTGTATGTGTTGACTGAAATAATAGCACTGCACACTCTACTGAATATTTCGACGGGTATTGCATAAATTTATTATATTATTTTTGCATAATACTTGGAATTACCTCCTGTATGTGTTGACTGAAATACTAGCATTGTATACTCTACTGAATATTTCGACAGGTATTGCATAAATTCATTATAATATTATTGCATACTACTTCATGTACATGGAATTACCTTTTGTATGCGTAGAGTATTTGCATATTTTAGTGAATATTCTGACAAGTATTTGCATAAATTCATTTTAATATTATTGTATACTACTTGGAATAACCCCTTGTACGTGTTGACTGAAATACTAGCACCGCATACTCTACTGAATATTTCGACAGGTATTCCATAAATTTATTATAATAATTTTTGCATAATGCTTGGAATTACCTCTTGTATGTGTTGACAGAAATACTAGCACTGTATATTCTACTAAATATTTCGATAGGTATTGTATAAACTTATTATAATATTATTGCATAATACTTGGAATTACCTCTTGTATGTGTTGACTGAAACACTAGCATTGCATACTCTACGGAAAACTTTGAGAAGTATTATTCAAATCAGTTATAAATGTATTGCATACGAATTGGAAGTACCTCTTGTATGTGTAGACTGAAATACTAGCATTGAATACTATATTGAATACTTTGAAAAGTATTGCATAAATTCATCATAATGGTATTGCATACTACTTGAAATTACATCTGAAGCAATTGCACCGCATACTCTACCGAATCATGACATACCACTGTGGCACAATTTTCTTGCTGTATGTGCTAACGAGTATATTCCAGTACTGCATTTTCTCAGTGCATAAATGTGGAGAGTTATTGCAGACATATTGTCATTGTGCTTTTATGCAGGTATAATCAGATAGTAGTATGTACAACTCGGGTATACTATCATCGCATATCATTGTGACAGTATTTCCCATTTTTTGTAATGCACACTTGTCATTGGGATTGCATAAAAAATTATTATATGTTTTGAGAAAGATCACATAAATACTGACAACAAAGGTGAAATATCATATGTAAAACTTGGGTAGGAAAGCACTGTAAACCTTTGTGGCATTATTTTTGTTATTGTTTTTGTTGTTCTTGTTTGTATAAATGTTGTAAATATTATTGTCCACCGTTGTGGCAGTATCTCGTGCTGGTTTTTGACATTGCATATACTGTGGTATGATGTTTTGAATGTAAACAAGTACTGCATATTTGGTTTCGGATGCAAATTCGTTTTTTTTTTGTAAATATCCTTCTCTTTCTGT